ACTTTTCCTGTTTGTAATCTCACAAAGCACAGCCAATTCTCACCTTTGGGTCGGCGGTAAAATCTGATTCTCCGGTTGTCTTGCATGGTCCCCTCCCGTCGACCCGTCGAATTGACTAGTCCTCAGCTTCAACTGGCCTAGCAAAGCCTCTCCCCGTCTTCACTCGCCCATCCATCTGCCAGTCATCAGTCACATCACCCACCTCGCATCGCATCGCGTCCCGTCACGCATCTTGCCTACTCGCGTCACCTCCATTGCGTCCTGTCTTTCTACTCGCCACAACTCGCTTCTTACCTCTGGCTAGTCGTTTGACTTCCCAGGCTTTCTCGCTCGACTAGACACCCTGGTCAAGAACGGTTTGTCACCCGGCGGCTGTGTCTTCCAGCGTGCAACCACATCCAATTCCACCACACATCTCATCGACGTCTCTCTGTCTTATTGCTGCCCTGTCTGCGATTCAACATTGAGTGCGACCTGGGCAGAGTTTCTTCTCCTGCTTGGGGTGCTGAAGTCACTCTAAACTGAGCTAGATTCGCTCTTTTCTCCAAGTGCCCACGTCCAGTGGCCAATGTCATCCATTTCGGCAACCGGCAAGCGGAAATAACCTTAGTTGACCAGAGTTATCGAACCATACCATCAGCCAGCCATCAACCTAAGCTCCTCAGACCTCTGGGGGCCGTCTATTGTTCATCGCACGGCAAAGCTGCAACAGCGATCGACGACGATTGACCAGTACTGCCCTCCCTTGCCTTTTGTCTGCTTCTAGATCTCCCCACCCTCTCCGACCGGAGACCGTCCTCTGTACTGCAACTGGCCCTTTCGTGCAGCTCAGTATTCGTACTGACACCTTCAGGCATACAGCCTCCATAAACCTTCTTCTCCCTTTCACTCTTGTCCTTTGGTTCAGCTCCGACTGTGCTTTGCCTGGAGGCTGTACGTACCCGGTCGTAACCTCGCCCAGCTACCTTGCCCGACCCGACTGCCCGACTTTATCTCACCAGATTCGTCCGCAGGGCGCCAACAGCAGGGCAGACTGCCGTAACGGAGTTGCTTAAAGTACGGTTGGGATCCTCCAGACGCCCAGGTCACCAAGTACCCCCCAGCAAGGTACCTCTCACCTAACCTACCCTGCCTTAGCTACCCTCCCCTCAGCTTAGCGCAGCTGGCTGGCGAGAGGCCCTTGCAGACGACAGAACAACCAAAAACTGCTGCACCAGCACCCTTTATTTGTTTTTAATTGGGTAGCCGGAGTGTGAGAGGATGAGAGCTGGTTGGGAACTTTGACTCTTCTTTTTTTGTCCTGACCTGGCTCGTCGGTCGTCTGTTTCTCCTTCTTTTACTCTCCCATTCTTGTTTTCCTTCGTCTTTGACACTTTCAGGATTTCCATATCCCTCGTCTCCTTTCTCTCTCTCACACATCCTGTCTCCCATTACTTCTATTCTCGCCTTCCCCTCTTCCCTCTCTGTCTCTCTCTCTCTCTCTCTCTCTCTCTCTCTCTCTCTCTCTCTGCATCCAGCCAGTCAGCCAGTCTGCTTTTGCATTTTTCCATTCCCCTGCTGGTCCCCCGTTCCCCGTCAACTTCCCCCCCTCCCCTCGGGCCCCTTAAAAGCACCCCTCCTTGGTCTCCTGTGGTCCCCACTCTTCCAATCAATTCGGACGGGCCAGACCCAGAGCTCCATGACCCGAGCCCCCGACTTTCAAACTTCGACGCTCCTGTGCTCCAACTACAATTGCATCCGGACCCCCCCGCCATTCTCCTTCGTCCCTTCCAGGTACCTTGTTGCGTCCTCTGGAAATCGCGCCCATCCACTCCCGATATAGAGTGATTTGCACGGCAATCCGCAGCCTCGATTCCGCTACCTGGCTTTCGGACCTCACCACTTCTCCGCCATACCAAACCCTCCGCCTCGCCGACAATCTATTTAACCTTGCTGTCGTCCCTTGCCGCATGACGCGCCGATTGCGAAGTACTCAGCCCGGCGGCCCTTCCTCAAAGGAAGACGACCAGCTGTTGAAGCTTTTCTCAACACACCAATTCGTCCCGGCACATTTCTGTCATCTGAATTGAGCTGCCCTGCTAAGACATCTCTCCCGCAACGATACACACAACCGACAGCAACAAAGTCGCAGCTTCAGGTTGGCCAGCATAGACACAATGTCACGCCACAACAGGCATCATCAGTCCTGGTATGCTCCGCCGTGATGCCTTTCCAATTTGTAAAGGAAGAGATAGAGGGGTCGCAAGCTGATCATGCGTAGTCGTGAGCTCCATGTCGTGGTGCTGGGTGCCGGTGAGTCCTTGTTGAGAAATACGCCTGTCACGTGCGCAGCCCACTAACTTTGCATCTAGGAGGTGTTGGAAAGAGTTGCTTAACAGGTCAGCATCGCGTAGCGCAATGCTCGTGTCAAATGTGCAGCACCGCTAACCAATGCAAAAGCTCAATTCGTTCACAATGAGTGGATCGAGAGTTACGACCCGACAATTGAAGACACCTACCGGACACAATTACAGGTTGATGTGAGTTAATCTTATGCGGGTACTACTTATTGCGACGAATCACTGACTCGATTCATTCCAGGGACGGCAAGTGGTCTTGGAAATGTGAGTAACGAAGGCACATTCTAGCTGCCGTGAGACCATCCATCTAACAATGAATCAGCCTCGACACCGCGGGCACAGAGCAGTTTGGTTAGCTACTTTTCGTACTCTGTCCGACATCCCAGCTGACCGTGGATACAGTTGCCATGCGTGACCTTTACATGAAATCCGGCCAAGGCTTCATTCTGGTCTTCAGCATCACCTCATCGTCCTCTATGAACGAGATTGAGATGCTCCGAGAGGAAATTACCCGCATCAAGGACGACGACAATGTTCCCATCGTCATCGTCGGCAATAAGGCCGACTTGGAAGAGCAGCGGTCCGTACCTAGACAAAGGGCTTTTGCGTGCTCTCAGATGTGGGATGCGCCTTACTACGAAACGAGCGCAAGGACACGAAGTAAGTCAACAGCGGGGTGTTGAGACGAGACTTTGCTAATCAGTGTCATCAGCCAACGTCGACGCCGTTTTTATAGACATTTGTCGCCAGCTTCTCATGAAGGATGAGAAGTTCCAAAACCAAGCCGCTCATGAAGATGAAGACCACGAGTACGAGAAAAACCCAGGTCTCATGGGTTTTGCAAAGCGGAAGCACCGAAGGCGCAGACGTCCTGACGGTCACCGATGCGTCATCCTTTGAGCTGTCCAGCATGACCTTCTATCGACTACGCGTTTCGACTCCCGAAACGCCTTCTAACCATGCATCTCCCTACAAGCGGAAGCATGCGGCGCTTTCTGTTGTCAGCATCCAAGGATTCAACACTCCATATTCGAATTCGACGCATTTCGCAGCCGGCATTCATACACTTCAAGACCCACAAAGAAAAGGGACGCACTCATTCAGGCCCTGCATGTTTCCTTTTACGTTTTTTTTTTTTTTTTTCGCACTCAAGACGACCTTGTCTCATCGGCAAACCATACCCTCTCATGAATTTCCGACATCAACTTCGCGGCAATGAAGTCCTCCATCTTTGTTTTCGACACGGCCTTTTGTACGCTTTACGACTTCATTTCAAACTTCGATCGAGGACAGCTGGATGAAAGCATAAGAGATCAATCTTGATTCATCCTTAAGCATCGCAGCAGCGAGATTCCCAACTGCAGAAAGAACTTGCGATTTGTTCTTCATTTTCATTTACGACGGGACGAAACTTGGACAAAGACCCATTCATCACCCACATCACATAGCTTTCTTCATTTCATTTTTCCTCATTTGATGTTTTCTCTCCTCTCATTTCAGCTTCCATGTCTTTTCATCATACCTTTAGGGAAGGAGACAAAACAAAACAGTAGGGTAAAGGGATGGAGTTTTCACTTTCCAAGAAAAAAACAAAGATTTTGGGCGGGATTCGGCTTCATCGGGCGTTAGGGAAACAAACTGGTGTGTTCCTACAAAGGTACTAAGTGAGCAAAGGTTGAGATATTGCAGCTGTGGGGTCCCATCCATTGTGGGAGGAGAAATTTTGCTGCTCTATCTCTCTCGTATCGTCTCCCCCATACGGGCTAGAATTGATGGTATTCTTGGCCGCATACTTGGAAAATAAGCTGCAAGGCTCTATCGGGCGATAGTCCGATTTGTGACAAGTGACAAAGGTAATGTTATGTGAAGATCGTTGAAAGCATGTGACTGCTGTAACCCTTCACTGCCCACATTCCGTCTTTTCCTGGTATGTTGGTGCAGGTTACATGAGGCTCTGTCGTACGCGTCAACCCGGGTCAACCGAGGCTTCGGGTTCGGGTTTGTTTCTCGAGCAGCTGACTTTTTCGATATCGGAGATTTCGCACCTTTCTTTCGTCCGTTGCTAGCATGCTCGAATGGCTGCCAGAGTATATCGCGCTCTGCCTCTATTGATGCATCGTGATCGGAGAAGAAGCCCTTCTCATAAATATCGATCCTCTTAACGTGACTCCAATCGGCGACCAACGCTTTACAATCACTATCAATCAAGGCCCTAAGAGATGTCCACGGCGGATTATCATCTCATAATTCTATGGATGTTTAATCGCGTTATATTCAGCAGGAGTACATAAAGATGGAACGGAACTCCATCACAACAGGTAACGAAGCGATGTGCGGGTGACGAAGCTACATACAATGAGAAGCAGGCACACAACGCTAGCCTGAACATTAAAAATTTGTGACTTGATGTTATTTGGCATCTATCAAAGAGCTACGTGATAGCGAAAGAGCCTGCATCATCTTCGCTATACTCTTTCTATTTCGATACCTTGTGAGCCCATCGAGGCCGAGGCCAGAAGGGGAGGTTTCTTCGTCAATACCTTTGATTAGATGGAGACCAATTCCCCTTCTATATACTGATCAGGCACTCTAGCCAAAAACTACTCGTTCTTGCTGAGTGGGTTCCAGACGGGCTGTGGGTGATATCGCATAAGGCTCAATATGTCGAGTCTACGGTATGTAAGGCCATCTCGGTCTAGTTTAGCATACAACCACAACCACAACCACCACTCGGGTACGGACAAAAGTTCAGTGCTTGCCAGAGGTGACTGTTCCGTGCATCCCGCCGAGTGTCTAGCACATCTTTACGCGCAGAGATCTCCTCACAGAATGTCTCCCAGTCGTAAAGTAGGCCGGTACTCTTCCCCTCTCTCCGCCCGATTCGCGATGCTCCCACCCTGACTATCTATATGATGGCAGACCAGCAGAGACAGCGGACGTGTCAAACTTCATGGACTTGCGTACTACATCTCTGAAAGATGCAGTAAGCCTGCCTGTCTGGCCAGGTAGTACAGCGACAGAGACCGGGAAGTGCAGCAACACGTGGTCATTCCGTGCAAGACGCTGGAATTGGCGGGATGGCTCTCAACGAAGGCCATTTTGATCTGAGTAACCAGCATGACGAAGGGGGCCGTACTTGTAATATATATATAGTATCCCAATCAAGACTTTGCGGAGGCCACTTGCTGTGTCTTCGGGTGGGTGCTTTCTATCAACACTCCCTGTGGGCTATCTAGAAGGTACCAATCACCTAACCGTAGACTGCAAATGACCGGGACCTGCAGGATATCCTAGCTCCCGAGATGAATCCGAATGTGCTTCCTTTTCTTCTTTCTCCGAACCCTCAAGAGAATGAATAAGGTTCAGAGTTCTCTCTCTCAATGATACCTCACATCGTCATAACAAGCCAACGAGGGTGCTTTCTGCTCGGCATGACGGTACGAATGACATGATACCTAAACTGCTCTCTGTTGAACGATACTTAATGGGAAAGAGCGAACCAAATAAGTTGATATCAATCCCCTCTCATAGTCAGCAGAACAAGAAGTAGAACCAAGCCTTGTATAGAATAAGAGTATCCGCGTCAAGCTCGATCATCAGAACAGCACACACCTTTCCTCATCCTTAAATCGAGGTAAAGGCCGAGCCAGGGCCAGATCAACTCTTCACCATCCTCGCACAACACAACATATACAAAGGCGACTATTCCATCGCCGGTGTCAGCATGGGTGGTTGGTGGGTACCGTCTCCCTCATCCTCCACCTACCCAAGGCCAACTGACGGCCCCAAAGTCTGTGTCTTTTTCTGAACAAGACGTACTCTCAACGCCAACAACCTAGAGGTGGTCACCTTAACTCCTTCTCTATCTATATATGATGGAGAGTTATCACTGCCAGATACCTCACACCAGCAGAAGGACCCTGTCTGCCCAGCATAGGAAGAAAGTCTCATGTTACGCACAAACTAAGAGCCGAGAATAAAAGCACCCAAGGCCGAGTACACGTCGTCTTTCCGTCAAGCAATCTACTCCGCCTCGTCGATGACTCCCGAATCACAAATGCAAGGGAACTCAGCAGCAGGGGGGAGGGAGGGGGGGTGTTCCATAGAAAGAAGCGAGAACAGGCAGAGGGGGGGACAATAACATGCAGCCTTGAGTAAGCCATGGGCGGCACTTCTGGTGTCGATGACATTGGATTATTCCATAAGAGGAGCCGACGAACCTCCAAGGACCACTCTCCCTCGTCTCTCATCTAATAGACAACAGACGACGATGCTCAGATCCCAATACCCAAGCTTGGGACAAAGTTCACCCCCCAATTCCAAAGGAAACCAATTTTCAGCATCTTACGAGATTTCCTGAGAACGAAGATCACGAGTCAAAAAGTCTTGAACAAATAAACGCTTGACATCATTTCAATCTCATTGAGCAGCCCGCTCTTCAGCAAAGCCACAGCTTTCGTCTATCGGGGTGTTCCCAGGATCAAGAAGAAAAGCTTCACTTGTGTTTCTTAATCCCTCCGCGAATCCGTTCCTCAAGTAAGTTTTTACTCCAAAATCGTGTGTTTCCGAGGAGGAGGGAGAAGGAGAAGTGTAAAGAAAGTGAAAAAAAGACATTAAACGTCGCTTCCTCGTGTCGTCCTTCCCCCCTTATCCATTCATCCATCCATCCTCCTCCAGCGCAAGCGACGCCCAATTAATCAAAGTTTTCCAAAACCAAGCTTTGTTGGTGGTGTAATGAACACAAAAGAAAAGAAGAATAGGAGTGAGAGAATATGTTGGGAAAAAGTAAGTTGGGTATCGGTGAAGTTGTGTCGCCCTTTTGTGCGGAAGTTGTCCAGAAACCTGGAGGGCAGAATGGCAATATCTCTCAAACCGGGGCTGAATAAACCGCAGGAACGGAGGGAGTACCACTCGTGCAAGTGTCGGCAAATTAAAAGAGCCTCGGCGGTCCGTTAGACGGAGGCGGCTTATCATCCTTCTGGTTGACCTTGACGATGCCGACCAGCACGCCCACTATCAACGCGATCAGGAACACCAAGACAGCGCAGAGCACGCCGGCGAGAATGCCAAGTTTCATCTTTCTCTTCTTCCTAGCCTGCGCGACGGGGCCAAGCTGTCCAGGACTGTTGCCATAAGCCGGCATCCCTCCCGTCATCGATTGCAAGTAGGCGCGCGGCCCGCTCCGTTCCCCTTGTCCCGATTCCGCGTCGGCTACGTGAGCTGCCGCCGGTGCGGGGGCTTGCTGTGGGGTGCTAGTGTAGGTACTCTGAGATCGCGTGGAATGCGCTCCATTCTGCTGCTGCTGCTGTCCGCTGAGAAGGGCACTCTCTGAGGGGTTTGGTGATATCGGGTCGCGAGGCGTCGAAGGGTTAGTAGTCCCCGTGCCTGGCCTCGAGGGGTCGTACGGCGGTGGTGGCGGGAGGTTAGGGTTCGCGGCCGACATGCCATCCGGGGTCCACGGTGCTATGGGCCCACGAGCGGGAGAGTACAAGGGGTCGTGGTTCTGCGCCTGGTTCCAGCCTTGCGATTGCTGGAAAGGTGCTGGAGCATTGGTTGGATACGGCGGGAATTGAGCTTGTGCTTGTGTACTGCTACTGCTGTTGGCGGCGCCGGGGGCGGCATTGTGGTTATTGTTGTAGGATTGGGAGTAACGGGCATTGGGCATAGCGAGCTTGTCGTCGGTGGGCATCGTCGGGTCAGACGGCCGGTAGGATGAGTCTGAAGGGTAGGCGGCATTGCTGATAGAATTGGAAGGGTGGCCGCCGGGTTGGTAGCTTGAGTCCCCGGGATATGCGGCGTTGTCAATTGAGTTTGACGGGTGGTGATGCTGGTTGTAGTCCATGATGGGCGGGTTTGTTGACGGCGTGGAGGTCTGTCTACGTTTTCTGGGGATATGTGGAAGTGCTACTTGAGATTATTTCGAGATGGGATGAAGTTGAATCCGGGGGGAGGGGAACGTCGAGGTTCAACCGCTTAGAGTGCAAGTCCAAACCGGATCCGGACACAAGGCCTTGCGGGGAGAAGGTGAAAGGGATCCCAACAGTGTGTCGTCGAGTCAGCCAGGCCAGGCGACGCCAGAAGCGTGACTGTGATGTCTGCGCGCGTCGAGGAACGGCCCACGTAAGGAAGGCTGGCGTCGTCTTAATGCGCCGTACAACCCAAGATGAGCAGGAGCCAAAAGAAGGAACGGGCAGCCAGAATTGAAAGAGAAACGAATTGACTGGTGGATAGGTAGGTAGCAAGGAAGAACAGAACCAAAGCGGGAAACCTTTTCCTTCCTTCGACGGAGGGCGACTGACTAGACAGGTAAAGGAGCGAATAAGGTTGAAAAGTCAGGCGAAGGCGAAGGGGAAGGATGGCCCGCGAGAAGAGCAATTTGGAAGAAGTGAGGATGAAAGTGAGAGGAAGAGGATAAGGAAGAGAAAGTAAGCCAAGCCAACGAACAGGAAGGTAAGGTAAATTGAGATGGCGGCAGATTGAGAGCGAGGGAGAGAGCAAGGAAGGGGTCATCCAAGGATGAGCAGCCAACCCACTTGTGAGCCAAAAAGCAAAAGCCCAGGTCCAGTTGCCGTCCCCGACTGGGTGGTGTCTCTCTCTGTCTCTTTGCCTCTTCTTCTTCTGCCTCCTCCTCTTGCTGCTGCTCCAAGGCCAGGCCCAACAGGGCGCGGCCGGGATTAGAGTAATGATGCTGCAGCCATCAGCGGCATCCGCTGGCGCCAAGTGGGCTCTGTTGCTATTCATTGCTACTCTCAGGACCCAAGTGCGTTCTAAAGATGTGGGTGTGTGTCTGTTCCAAAGTAAGTACTCTCTGGGAGTCATCTACGCTAAACAGTACCTGCTTATCCGTAGCGCACTTGGCCGTTTCTCTCCCCCCCTCTCTCTCTTGCAGTCTCTGGAGAATGGTTCGTCTCTCCACAGCCTCAATGGGCGGGCTTAGCTGGCCCTTCTTAGCAAGGGGTGAAGAGCCACGAGGTGGATGGTGGGCATGGCAGGATGGGAGGGACGGGCGAATCTACCTTATTTCCCGTTGGATGCGTGCTATGTGATGCAAGTGAGCCGACATGGTAACGCGCGCCGAACTGCGACACGATGACCCGTAGTCGCGTTCTTGCAGCCTCCTCTGTCACTCTGATAGATCATGGATGCTGTCGTCTGCTCCAAGCACGAGGGAGGCTGTGTGGCTGTGTCTGGCATGTCTCTCTGAGTGTTCACCGTTCGTTCTCCTGCAAATCTGACAGACCAAGTTCAGGGGTTCGGGGCGGTCCAGAACGGATGATGGGTTTCAAGACCACCCGACGAACACTTTTCTGGCTGACAGTTCAGTCCGGAGTTTTGGACTATGAGCCTTGAGAAATGTTCCAGTCCTTATTCCCACATTTCGTCACTCTCTCCCTCCTCCCCTCCTCTGTGGAACGCCGAACAAACAGCCCGCAATCACCCTCGAACAGATTTCCCTCATCCACTGCGAGAAAACCCACTCTGAACCCTCAAGCGAACGGGCATCGTTGGCAAGCACCGCCGCAGGGCACGCGGGTGGAGGAGATGGAGGAGGGGAGGGGTGGGCCACCGGGGGGGAAACTTGGGAAGGGAAGGATTGGCACCGATGCAGGAACCCTTGCTCTGGCACGCCTGCGCCTGGAAAGGGGGTTGAGAAATCGCAGGGGTGTTTTGGTGGAGAAGGGGGAAGAGGAGGATCTGTTAGTGCCTGGGAATTTGGAAAGTAAGAAAGAGAGAGAGAGAGCGCGCAGAGCCACAGTGGCACAGAGTGTGCGTGAGTCTGAGAGAGACTTCTGTCCACTAAGAACTGAATATCAGAAGGTCGGCACTTGTAGCAGAGACATGCCCTTGAACACGGATTCACCAAATCAAAGATTCATGGAAGTTTCCTGGGGCTCTCTCCC